GAGGGCACAGTGTTGGGCGTCTTGCAGTTCGTGCTATATCTTAATGATTTAGAGTTAAATGTGGGAAGCATAAATGGGAAATTTATAGAGAATGCAAAAATTGGGTGTGTAGTTGATAGTGAAGGGGATGACTGCTGGCTGCAGGTTTATGTGGTTTGCTTGAATGGACAGAAAAGTGGTGAAATGGGATTTCAACCTGGAAAAATGAAAAGCTATGCATTTGGCAAATGCACAATAGAACAATATTGAGAAGGATCAAGGAATTAAGAGAGCCTAGAGTGCATTTTCACAGATCCCTGCAGTTAACAGGACAGTTAGGTATTGTGGTAACAGATACCTATCCTCAGTTCTGAGGAAGGGTCACTGGACCCGAAACGTTAACTCTGATTTTTAATTTACTGATGCCGACAGACCTGCTGGGCATTTCCAGCAATTTCTGTTTTTGTTCCTGATTTAGAGCATCCGCACTTCTTTCGGTTTTTATCAGTCAGGTAAACCTGTGTTGCACTCCCTCCATAGCCAGAACATCCTTCCTTAGATAAAGAGACCAGAAATGCACACAGTACTCCAGGTGTGGTCTCATCAAGATGCTGTACAAATGCAAGACATTCCTGCTCCTGTACTTGAATCCTTTTGCTATGAAGGCCAACATACCAGTTGGCCTGTTCACCACCAGCTGCAGCTGCATGCTTGCTTTCAGCAACTAGTGTACAAGGACACCCAGGTCTCATTGGAAAAGGGGGAAGTGCAATCTGTTGCCATTCAGATAATCTGCCTTCCTGTTTTTAGGTCTAACGTGGATAACCTTACCTTGAGCAAAAGCATGGCAGATGCAGTGTATTCATTCAACTTGTCCAATCACACTTCAGCATCTCTGGATTATCCTCACCGTTCACCCTCCCAGCCAGCTTTGTACCATTGAAAAAGAATCTGGAACAGTACGTGAAGCATTGTACCCTGGAAACCAGAGACCAGGTGCTGGAGTCTGGAATTCGAATAGGCTGCTGGTTTATTCAGTCAGGCCAAATGTGATGGGCTCTTCACTACCTACTTTCCAAACTATCTTTGTGTCATCAGTAAATTAAACAATCATACATCTGGTCTCTTTATCCAACTCATTTACCCAAGTTGTGAAAAGTTGTGTGGTTCACCACACATTGTATCTTGCCAACCAGAAAATGACCTATTTATACGTTCTGTTTCCTATTAGTTAGCTCCACGAGCTCTTCTTTTTCACTGTAACAGTTGGGGAGTGGTGTGCTCAATATGTATGGCATTTGAGAACCAGATGGATGCACAGCCTCAGCTTAGCTGAGTCATGCCTATATGAAGCTGTCCCAGGCATCGCTGGCAGCTAGGCTCAAGGTTGTAGGGACACTGACCACATCATTCTTCATCCTGTGAAAGATACAGAATTGTCCTCACCTTTCTCCTCATACAGCTCCAAACCTCCTTGCAACACTACAATGTGAGGTGCAATAGATATCTATCATTCTGGCAATATCAAAGACCTCTGCCCTCTGATCTGTCCAGGCAGATGAACCACAAGGACCCAATGGCAGTTCAAGTGCAACTCCTGTGTTCATGTGGCTTCTGTTGTACCTTGCCCATGTATTTGTGGTAGGGTAGCGCAGTTGCTAGCAACCACGTGCTGAAAGGACAGATATTTTCTAATCTAAAGGTTCAGAGATGTTATTACAGGTGAGACTTGAACCCAGGCCTCTTGTGCCAGAGGTAGGGACACTACCAGCGTGACACAAGAGATGCATAAAAGGTATTTTTTTTTATATATCTGGAAGTGCTATTCCACACAGCAATCTGCTTTTCCCCACCACCAAATCACCCATGTTATTTTTCATTTATTAACCATCACCTGTAAATCACCCATATTTTTCAATTACACGCACAGCCTGTTAAGAGCAATGCAGACCACTAAAGGTGAGGGAGAGAGGAAGAGGGCTAACTCAAAATAGATTTGGAAGGGGAGACAACAAGGTGCAGGGCTGGATGAACACAGCAGGCCAAGGAGCATCATAGGAGCAGAAAGGCTGACGTTTCGGGCCTAGACGAAGGGTCTAGGCCCG